CGTCTGAACACGGCTGTGATGGGTCCTTAACAGGAATTTAGACCAGAGCTGCTGCTGGACTGTGAGGCCTGGGACTCCCCAATGGCCACAGACACTTCTGCCTTCATCTACTTCCTCTGAGGATGGAGAGAGTGACTCATGCTCATTAATACGATTTTTGAGTCTATATTATGGTTGTTAAATTGATACAGCAAACCGTATGCTATGATCCAACCTGATCTGCAGAGGGTCCAGGTTGTCCTGTATTATAAATGCTTTTTTCTGCTGCTTATGGGTTATAGGCACTACACTGAATCCACTTATAGAAATCCTGCAGAAAGCCATTCTAATAATAAATTCTGTACTATAGTAATGATGAAATCCTGCAAAGGAAAATAAAACTTAAATTCTAGCTATAATTTAATGCCGTTCTGGTGCTGCCTAAAATCCCTAAAAGAAATAGTCTGTCTCCTCACTGTCAGGTGACCTTATGTGAGTAATTTTCTTACCTATTCCTGTAGTGCTTTCTGTATTAAAGAAGAATTTTCTCCTATCTTCAGGCCAGTTCAGCCTTTCCTCCAAGTGCTCTGTTATGTTCAGGTAGGCTTCATCTAGGCCCATAGGCATAAAATTGGGATCATATTCAGCCAGTATTTCTCTAACCTTGAAAACACATAGTGAAAGTTTAAAGCCTTGCTGCTGTAAGAGCAGATCTTGACACAAAATTAGGACAWGAACAAATGTACTCTGAGATTTCAAGATAATAAATAAATAATAAAGACACTTATAGAAAAAATATTTCTTGCAATTCTAAAATTATAGTAGTGTATCTCACAMGTAGCAAGACACTAACAGTAAGTGAGAACTAAACAGATCTTGAGCAGCGTATTTTACTGTGAAGGCCACTAAGATCAGTGTATAAGGACTACAMAGCCACTAGGTTCTCGGACACTGAATAAAACTCTGGGGACCTGGAAACTCAGCGAAGCGGATGCAACTCTCTTTGYTCAGTGTTTTAGATATCACATATACAAAACAAGAAAAAGCAACAACAAAAACCTAAGTTTCAAATTACATTAAACTGAAGTTGTAGACAATGTTTTAGAGCAGAGGTTTATGCCACAGGCAAAACATCTTAGAAAATCTTCTGTGRTAAGTCTATCTTTCTAGATGGAAACTTTATAAAATAAATGGTCAAAATAAAAGCTCTACCTTCTTTCTCCTCTATCCCTTTTTTTTTAAACATGGAGGAAAATCTGACTGTGTCATGTTTTTCCTATGAGTTTGGGTCAAGTACTTAGATATTACAACATTTGTCCRCATGCACTTCATCTTTCTGAAACTGAATAAAGAAAGGATTCACTACTGAACTATAAAAGACAAAATGAAATAAATTTAATTATTTTCAATCCAAATCCCAAGAGAGAAACATATCTAACAATTCAGATCAAGTCAAATCTTTAATACTTTACCCCATCACACAACAAATGAAATACACATAGTGAAATGCAAGATCCTTTACAAGCTCAAATCCATTCTGAAAGATCCATATTTATATACACTTTTTTTTACACAAGTAAAAAAAAAAAATCAAGATCAACCTTACTTTATATATATATATATGAAGGGACTGAGGCTTCATAAAAATAAAGAAGGCCTCACATAGTTTTATTAAAGTCAGGAGACTTGTATCATGCGCTGGTCTGACTTAATATGTACAAAAGACCTTTTTATCTTTTTTTTTTTTTTTTTTAAACAGGCTTTTAGGTATCRAAACTATTTCCTCAGGCACTAAGTAAAACTACTTCTATTAAAGCAAAATATTTATTGTCTCCCTATTTCTTTTGCTCTTTCTATCAAGTCCCTTCTTTAAAAAAAAAAATCTGCATTTAGAAGTCAGTAATGCTCTTTTTCTCCCCCGCAATTAGTATTCTAAAGTATGATTGCCATTGTATGAAATTACCATGCTTCCTACATATTTGCAACTTCCTAATAATTAGATTATGTTCCATGATTTTGAACTTCTAAGAATAATAAAGCTTGAGTGCTACCGCTTGCTCAGTACAGAGATTTTTAGAATTTCTATCATCATCACTACTAACTTCATTAAAATGGCCAGATTGGATAAGTGTAGTGCTTTTTCACCTTTTTGGTCAAAAGCAGCAATTTTTTTGACTTATGTTTAAAGCCCCATTACTGAAGAGTTTAATATTTAAATTATCACTTTTTATATTAYCTAGAACTGATGTTATTGATAGAGCCTAAAAAACAAGTACAGTGACTTTTGGTTAGAGACCACTTCCAGACTTACCTCTTTACTCACTTTGCCGTATTTTTCAAAGTTTAGGGGAACTATAGTTAGGTGCGGACATAGCCTTTTAGCAATAAATCCAGGCATGGCTGCACGCACACCGAATCTCCTAGCATGGTAATTTGAGGTGGACTGAAGAGGGATTAAACAAGTTTAGTATTCAGTAATCACATTTTTCATTAAGTTTGGTATTAAATGACAAATTTCTAATTACATATCTCAATACAGAAAAGACTGACCAAGAGTTTACATGCACTTTCACTCTCCCTGCTCCTGCTTTTCAGTCTATTTACATACTTTAAATATTCATTAGTACACTTTTTACTGAAAAATCCATCTTACACCATACCAAGTCTAAGAACTGCTATTTCCTTTATCATTTTTAGGTTTTCCATTATTCATAGAAAAAGCGTCATTATATTTATGCTATTGTTGTATGGTTTATTAAGCTTCAAATGAATGTAATTGATTTCCATATTAGTTTAACATACAGCCTTACCAACATACTCATTGATCCCACTGCTATAGGCTTTTCCTTCAGCTCTGGATTGTCTCTCATTTCCACAGCTGCATAGAAGGCATCCATGTCAATGTGTACAATTGTACTGCTAAGGTTACGGCTCTGTTCCAGCTCTATCACAAGCTTGTCCACCTGAACAGAATAAACCAGTACTTGATATACTACTAACCTGGCAGAAGTGCAACAGTACAGATGAWCCTAAAACCTCAAATGCATCTTGCATATAGTTAAAGAACCTCAACAAACGCAATCCCCACCAAACCAACTCCACCAAAAAATCCCAACAACGTTTCTGATGAAACTTGCTCTCAGTGAGAATGATGCTGTAGCAAATGGTCCAAAAAACACCCCAAAATCCCGGGAAGAAAACACAACTGTTGTGGTTTAGCCCTAGGTGGCAACTAAGCTCATGCAGCCACTTACTCACTCCCTCATAGTGAAAGAGTCAGAAGCATAAAAGTGAGAAAACTCATGGGTAAAAATAAAGACAATTTATCATGGAAAGCAAAAGCTGTGCATGCAAGCAAATCAAAAAAGAAATTAATCCACTGCTTCGCACAGGCAGACAGTATTCAGCCATCTCCAGGAAAATCAGTTTCATCATACATAACAGCTACTTGGGCAGACAAATGCTATAGCTGCTAAGTCCCTCCTCATTTGTCTACACTCTACTTTGTACATTGAGCATGATGCTATATGGTCTAGAATATCCCTATGRTCATTTGGGGTCAGATGTCCTGACTATGTCTCCTCCCAACCCTTGTACACTCCCAGCCTCCTCACTGGTGGTCCAGTGGGAGGAGCCAAAAAGGCCTTGGCTCTATGCAAGTGCTGCTCAGCAATAGCTAAGCATCGCTTTATTATCAAAACTGCTTTTGGCACAAATTCAGAATACTGCCCCATGCCAGCTGCTGTGAAGAAAATTAACTCTATCCCAGACATATCCTCAACTTTTGTTACAGGWACCCATACTATATGAGGCCAGATTGCTACGAAAACTGCAAGTTTTTTAAGGAATAGTCTATACACAAACTGTATTTCACTCCAAGCGTTAGATATGTATGTCTACAAGTAGACTGTAAGCAGTACTGCTTCATCAGCTCCATGGTGTTGTGAGGCAGAGGGCAAGCATGCAGATTACTCTATGAAATACTTGGACTGTGCTTAATTTGCTTGTATTTTTACCAAAAGTCATGCAGATCATGTGCTTGTTCCTGAAACACTGTTGACCTAAGCATGAGGTAGGAGCTGTACAGTCATGAAAAAGACATGGGAATTTTAAGGTCTACTGGTTTAAGATGGCTATGCTGGCAGTAGCATCACACATCATTACAGAAGTAAGAGAAAATACAAAAAATAAAAAAAAACCCAACCAAACAAAAAAACCTACAACTCCCCCAAAACAAAACAAAACCAAACCAAACAAAAAACCAAACAAAAACCAACCAACCAACAAAAAAACAAACAAACAAACAAAAACAACACAAAAAAACAACCAAAACCAAAGTGCTATCAAAATAAGATTACCTAACCACACTGATGATTATGGCAACCTCAATCTACACAACAAAAGGCTTTTACTGCTAGTAAAAAAACCTGATAGGCATAATAGAGAAAAAAAAAGGCGTTAGCAATAAGGAACAAAAGTTTCACTTTGCTTGCAGAGACAAGGACACACACACACACACACACACACACACACACACACACACACACACTCACACTCTCATGGCATCAGGGTACCAGTATAGAACTATCTCTGGACTGACTATAATGCATTTATGGTCCTGGAGATGAATGTTTACATGCAATTTGCATGGTTGTTCTCTTTTTTATCTCCCTTAACAGAGCTGCTTGATAAAAAAATATAAAAACCTTATCCACAAGAACCATCTTTGAGCTCAAGACACTTAAATCAAGGCAAGTGAGCTTGGAATGTTCTAATTAAATTGTTGATTAATGATTTACAAAGTCTTTCTTTTGTTTTGTTCCAAGTTGCTTTGAGGGATGAAATGCTAGAACAGAGCCTTAAACTAGGCTACTCGACACAGAAGAGCACAATAKGCTCTCTGAGGCCGAAAATACTGGTTCAAATTAAAAGTACAAGCAAGAAGCCATCAAACAAACTAACCAAAAAAGTGGGTATTTACATTATTTTCATTATACTGCTAATTCACAAGGATTCATGTCACACTTCAATCATCAAAAGAATCCTTATTTTAAATTATACTTTAAAGACAATTTTCAGGTTGTTCTCAAATTGAAATTGTTCAATACTGTAAATTGCTGCTCCAGTTGCACAACTTCTGCATTTCATTTTAGAACATTTATAACAAACTACTTTTTTGCTTTTTCTCCCCAAACATATTGCGAACATGATACTTACTGATCAGTTAACATAAACACATAAAGAATGAAACAAAATTACATTAAACTAATTAGAAATACAAAAAGATAATTCTTCAGCAAAAGCAACTGATACAAGTAACATGCCAAAACAAAACACTACCAGATCTGCTCAGAAAATTCTGGGCTTCTACAAACCTCTCCTTAAAATTTATGGAGTAACTCCTTAGATGCAACCAAGGTTGACAAGTTTTTAAAAGAGCTTTCAATTATCCTTTGTAAAATAGAAAGCTATTTTTTATAAATATTTCTAAGTTAGATTAAAAGAACAACTAAAAAGTACAAATTATAATTAGAAGTTCAGTTTTTCTTATAGCAACTTTTAGACAATTTTAAGAGTAACTCCTCCTTTTCTCTTATCTCAYGGCAAAAAAATATGTATTTTCAAAGCAAGACAGGAAAATCAATAAAAGAAGAAAAATAGTGACTATTTACAGAGTAAACATCTGGGGAGGGGAGGGGTGGGGAGGGGAATTTTGATGGGGGAATGAAGGCAACAACAATCACGAACCAGAGCTTTATGTGAATACAGAGAGGATAAAATAAAAATCCAGTATTTCAAGATGTTTTTATGGTAGCAAAGATCTAAACTTAACCAGTAAAAAAGTGTGCATACTATACCCCTCTAATGACAKTTCTCATGCAGTATGACAGCTGACTTAACAGTTTATCTAGTCAAAGTAGATGACTGCTATTTCAGCAAGTAGCATAAAGATTTCAAATATGAAACTTGAAACTCAGGTTCCAGTAAGACACATGAGAGAATTTCTCTCTTTAAGTTTCTTTTTTCTTCCCCGTTTTCAAAAGAAACATTAAATTATAATATCATGTTGCAAGATCAAAGAATCAAGTTGCAAAAAAGACAACATGAAGGCAGACAAAGCAATACATATTTCTTAGCTTCCACTATATATACTCTCATTACATAACTATACAATAGTTACAATAATACAATAATATTATTTATAGGATTTGTGTCATTCATGTCCTTTATTTTATAAGAAAGACTCTTCTCTGTAAAATAAATAGTTCTGTGGTGAAGGTAGAATGGAAATAGCAGCATTTTTTTCAATTAAATTACTTCAAAGCTACCTTAGTTCACAAAAAAAACCCATGGACAAGCATAGTCATAATGGATCCATGTTAAAGGCTCACTAAAAATAATTGTGGCATACAGACTTATCACAAACTTTTCGGAGGTACTCAGAATGGCAAACTTCTGAGTAATGACAAAATGGGCACAAATTTGAAACACTGGCATCTAAAGTACAGAAGTGATTTGCAAATCTGAAATGATTAAAAGAGGTTGTAACCAAAAAAAGCTCAACCTATAATTCTCACAACAGCACTGAAAATAAAAGGATGTGTTTAATCTTCATATGCTTCAGCTCYCCATCTATAAATAAAAAAAAATCACTCTACTTTGCTGGAATATTGCAGGAATTAAGAATTCACAGCATGTGGTGTACAACATAGAAAATTCTATTAGGAAATCAGTAATTCTGCATTCAAAACTGGATTACACTTGAGTTCAACAAATAAAGCTTGGGGCAACTCATTGAACATTGAGGGCAACAGTAAATACTGAATAATTTCCCCCTCAGTGAACACCATCTGCAATGCGCACTGAATAAAACAGGAATCATGTTAAAGAAAACGAGCAACCAATAATTTAATTAAAGACTGAATCACACCACAAATGAAAATAGAAGGGAATTCAGCTCCTACAAGCAACTTKAATTCTGTTGGGCCTAATAACGTYTGGTGTGCAACCTTTCTTTTAACATTTCATACACTGTTAGTACTTTGGAGACTATTATCTACTATCAGCATTGGAAAAGAAAAATAGCCTCTTCATATGTCTTGTTCAGGACACTTGTACTTCTTGTGACTGTTTGCCATGATGACTTTTCATTAATTAACCCAAAAGAGGCATCAATTATATCCAGAATTGCTGACAACTGTGATCTTTCTCATTCCATCACAGGCCACCTATATATAAATTCTAAAACTCAAGAGTGACATGATACTTCCTAGCAAATTTATTTATTTAACRAACTTGTACAAAAATCATAATGATATCACTTTCATCTGATCAGACTTGGAAAAACAGGAATTATTTTGTTTCATTTTTCTCATTCAGAGACCATTTMAGAGTAATTCTATGAAATATACATCTAGCAAGTTTTTATTATGATGACACCATCAAAACACTGTGCTCTTCTATGTCTAACATCAAAATAGTAGYTCAACATTGTGCCTATGAGCAGAATTTAATGCAATAAATCAGAACACACCAAAATATTTATGATCCAACATTTACTCAAGTAAGTCTTTAGAAAATTAGTACCTGCAGCTGTGCTTTTAAGAGCTGTTGTGTTGTAATTTTCTCTTTTAGCTGCATCATTTTTTCAATTCGTTGGTTAACTTGTTGATCTTTCTTAAGTTCATTTTCATAAAATCTAGAACCCTGAAAGAAAAGAAAACACCATAAAACTGCTGTGTTTTTCTTTTTGTSTTTGTCTTGTCCTTTAAGCAACCACAGTTGATCATTAAACACAGAAAACATAAAACACAGAAATGGTTTATAATGCATACTTTGGAATTTTCATATAAAAATACAGAAAAGAGACCACTGGGTCTTTACATCTCTCTCTTCAAATGACGCAAATATACTTCTCCTCCTCCAAGACCCTATACTCGAACAAGATTATGGGACTATTTAGAGAACTTCATATGTGTATTCATCCTAACACTTGACAATAAAAAAATTAAAAAGAGTAAGCAAAAGAGATAAAAGTCAAACTATTTTTTGCAACACCTCCAAGGTAAGAAGTATAAAACTCAAATAAAAAATTATTTAAGTATTTTTTCAGACTTCCATATAGTTTAATATATATAGAAATATATAATGACATGGAATAAGTCAAATCCACTTGTAATGTTGTGKTTTTGAATTGTTGAATTTTGTTCTGGCCATTTAATCTTGAAGGACACTGCACAATTGGAAGCTATTTGGAAGAGGATGATGAAAACTAAATGGGTATAAAAAAGCCCTGTTGCTCTCAAGTATGTAATAGCAAGAAAAGGCATGAATACAAGCAGATGTAATGAAAAAACAATAATCATGTACAGAATGTATAATGTGACTCTGTCTCCTGACTCATAACAAAGAAAAGAAGGCATACAACAAAGCACAACAAAAGAGGGCATACAACAAAAGAGGAAAACTCGAAACTGGGAAATAAAATAGTTTTTCTTCCACCATCACTTATCTTAAAGAGAAATAAGATTTGCAAGAAAAGGCTTTCGTTGAACGACTTAGTAAAATCTGCAAAAGTGAACCAAATTCTAGGTCAAACTATCTGATTACCAAATTGTCACTGATACCAGGAATTCAGCCATAGTCAAGTAAGGTTTAGGTATTCATATTAAAAAAAAAATCCACTTTTATAATAATTATAAAAAATATGAATGGCAGGGCTGTAATGTGTCATGTTTCATTAGGAGAAATACCTAATTACAAGAAATTAGAGTGTGTTTTCTCTGAATATCAGACCTGCTTTTCATCTTTTCTCCCCTATGCCATCAAATATGACTTGTTGAGACTCATTCAAAGAAATGAGTACCAAAATGCAAGTGTGCAAAGCACTTGAGATTTTTAAGTTTTTTTATTAAAAAGTTTATTACATCTCTTGCAGAATTTCACAGTTGAAAGGCCATAAATCTTGTTGTAATACAGTTGTGGGTAGTAACTGTACGTGCAATTTTGAATATTATAGAAAAGCTTAAGGGAAAAAAATCAGTGCTACTTTTCAGATTTCTTGAGGTATATCGGGCATTTATAATTCCTTGTGCATTTTTGACAAAAATATATTACAGTGATTAGATTCCCAGATGTCAGTTTTGAAAGCTGTTTTACRGTTCATTTTATTTCATACCAGGAACTGAAACAATAAATGCTAAAACAAAATAATTTATGTAAATACCATGGTGTGAGATTTGTCTGACAAAGTCCTATTTTCAAGAAAGAGTGAGCAGAATAAGAATAAACATCTAATCAATAAGGAGCTTGATCACATATAAAGTATCATCAATATGTAATTGCAAGCAAAAAAAAAAAAGGTTGCTACATTAGAACCGTTTGCAGCATGTTTTCTGCTTCCTCTTGCCCTTCCCCTGCAGATGACCATAAAGCAATAACAGTCAACACAGAATTCATGAAGAAAACATCAAAGCACATAATCTGAGGTCATAGTGACACTAAACAAAACATGGTGAAAGGAAAAGTAAGAAAGCCCTGGGTTGCTCAGATAAAGTGTTATCCCTATCCATAGCAACTAAAATGACAAACATTTCAAAATTTTGTCAATTTGTGCCTGCATATGTGGTTCTTTAGTTACAAAGTTACACACTACTGGCCACCTCTCCAGAATACACAGAAGACAGACGAAGAGACAGGCAGTAAGCACGAMGAAATTCTATTGAAAGTACTAGAAAAACTTGATCACACCAAATTCATCAGTTACGGAAGATGACCAAAAGAAGTAAATATCCTTGGCTGATTAATGATATGGTGAACAAAAGGAATGGAAAAGGGGAGGAAAGAAGGAAGATGCAACCTTCACAATTACCTCTGGAAAATGCTGTGATATTTATGTACTGATTAGGACAAAAAGGCAGCACTTAAGGATGTACTCAATTGTGCTCCTCCATGTCCCTGTGTATGAATCCAGCAATACCTKACAGTACCCTAAATTACACCTTTCTTCCCACATATGAATTTCTTCTAAGAAGACATACTCCATATACACATGTGAGGGATAAAATTTGGGGAAGAGAGCCTTACAATACTGAACAACAGATAAAGCATCAGGAAAAAAGTAATCAAACCAACCTTGGTAGCTTCCATGATGATTTTATTGATTTTCTCCTTATCCAAACCCTGCATTCCAGCTTTGTTATCATTAAGGCCCATTCTAAGTAGAACTCCATCATTGCAAGAGCTGTTTGCAACTTTTTGCATGTTATCCATTGTGCTTCTTGAAACAAATATTTGTTTTAAGACTTAATATCTGAAAAAAAAATCAAATATTTATGTTACAACTGAACAATAACAATAATTAAATTCTGGAATTCATTTGCTGTATTTATTGAATAAGCATTTTATACTTACTCAGAAAACAACATACTTAATCACAAATATGAAGACTTGTATTCCTGCAAAGTAGCTGACCTGCTGCACCCACCACATAAAACCACCTGTAACTCTGTCAGTATAGTAAGACTATTTTTTTAATTAAATTAAAAACATACTTTTCTAAAACCTCCAGTACAGAAATAACTGAGTACAAATCAACCCCAGGTAAAGGCTAGTACCTTACATGTGAACACGACATTTATGCCTGCATATTATACTTCAGATAACACATTACTGCCTTAAACACAGAATACTGCTATTACATTAAAAAAAAGGAAACATTTTTAAATTGCAGAAAACCACTGCTCATTTAGTCATCATCCTTGCCTGATACAAGCAGTAGTATCCTTCCCAGTAATTTTTAGCTCAGATTTAGAATCTATTTTTGTGTCAAAGCTCATATTTAAAAAAAAAAGATGGCTTCAATTAGAAGTTTTAAATAAAACCCTAATTCAGGGTAAAATYTGTATACTCTTTTTTGCCATTAATGTGTAGAGCCATGGTAACCAACTAGCACAACTTACCAAGCCTTTCCTACTCAACTACAGCCATCAGTAATTTCTTATATATGCAGACATTTCTGATACATGAACTTCTGTGGTCTTCCTTTGTTCTTTATGAAAGTTAAATCCTCAATAGACTCTAATTAGATGATAAATTGTTTAGTTATTTAATTGATCTCAAAAAGTAATGAAAGCAAATTTCCCATTCTGCAGCATGAACCTGTGGTCTTACTTTTGCCAGATTCATATAACAGTTTGAGTAGGGGCCTTTTAAAGGTCACCAAGTCAAACCCCTGCAGTAAGCAGGGACATCTTCAATGAGATCAGGTTGTTCAGAACCCTATGCAACTTGACATCAGATTTTTCCAGCAATGGGGCATCTGCTATTTCTCTGGGCAACCTGTCCTTGCATACTTGTGCAAGGAAATGTTTCACCATCCTCACTGTTAAAAAAAAAAAAAAAACNAAAAAAACCAAACAAAACTAATCTAAAGTTAGATATAACTCTAAACCAGTCCTCTTCAGTTTAAAACCATTACTCTTCGTCATATTGCCTAGAAAATGTCCTGCTAAGAAACCTGACTGTGTTAAAGGCTTAAATAACATGAATTTACTACTGAAAAAGCAGAATCAATTCCTTCCTATCCCCCATCACTGACTCATAAACCACCTCAGTTTTACTGTCATGCAGAATGAACATTCACCCCTCAACCTCACACTGCTGAAGGACAGGAATCTTTCCTATTTGGAGAAGATACACCCTTTCAGGCAAATACAGTAGCTTTTTAAAATAATCACAAATTACACAAATCTAAGAGTGCAACATTTTTTCTTTAAATGCCACTTTCCCATGCCAGGACTTCAGTGGGCTCCACTAGCAACCAAACTTAAGAAGGTTATTATGTATTTTTGCATTAAGAGATTAATTTCTGCCACATGAATAACTTTAAAAAAACAATGGTGGCATAATATTTTCCTGAAGTTCTTCTACTGAAACATACTAACCTACTTAAGATATTAAAGAAAGCCATATTTATAAAAAAGTTCTGACAAAAATATTCAAATTTGAATCATATGCTATTAATTCAGATTATTATTTATCATATCTTCTGAAAAATATAACATCAGTTACATAATGCTGTCTTTATATACAGTGTGTTTTATTTCATAAAACAGAAGTTGATAAAAAAAMCAGAAGTAGTCCCTTAACCCTTTAGTAGTACTTGCACTTCTGAGAACAGGGGTGGCTTCATAGYTCCTACGTGTATTTAACAAATAAAAGACTATAATGCTGAAGATATTCATAAATTTTTCAGCTACAGTAGGACAATCCCTTACAATTAACACATACGTTGATCAGAATAGGCTTGCTAGACTTCAATCAGAAGAAAAAAGACTGCATTCAAAACAACATTACATGTTTAATCTCACATTCGTAAGTACCCCTGTACCACTTAGGTCCCAATAATTCCATTGTTACTGGCAATCTCTGGCAAGCAATGGGCACCATTTCCAAGAAATCCTTTCATCAAAGCAAATATCCCTCCATTATTCTCCCTGCTTCTTTTATCACTCTTTGCCTTCAAAAAAAGAGGAATGAACATAAGATTGCTTCCAGTTCCTATTCTAGTATTTTCAAAGTTTTTTAGCTGTTCCTTATTCCTTAAAATGTTCTTCTCCTTAACAYGCATGAAACTTCCCCCTATCTCCAAGCACTCCTAAAAGCTCAGCACAGGCTTTATAGCACAGGCTTTAAAAACTAACATATGTTAGTCAAAAGAAAGTCTTCTTTATCTCATTGTTATGTATCCAACAAGAAAAAAATAGCCACGATGGCTAATTTTTTTTCACCAGYGGTGAAAAAAACAATTGTCTCTATAAAGTCTCATAAATGGTGGTCATCTAGTATATTTTATCTTTTGAGCTTRTTGTGTGGAACAAAATACACTGCTAGTGCTAGATGAGAAAAGGTATAAATACCAAGCAGTACTGTAGTAGAAATTAAGAAGAAAACATGTATCTGAGGGCATGACATTAGTTCTCCACCAGAACTTACAGGTACAGAAGGGAAAACATGAATGACAGGTGATATAATTATGAATGACAGGTGATACAATTTCCAGCTGTTTAATATGAAGAGAACCTGAACATTATCTTGAATTCAAATTAATAGTTCTGAAAAAAAGTCCATAAAATTTTTAACATATTGAAATTAATCATAAAAGCTACAACAAAACAACTGATACAGTACTGTCTGATAAAAACCAGTGGTCATTTGCCATAGGCCAAAATGAAGACATTCATTCCCAACAGGGGAGCAGAGCAGTTTCAAACTGTGCAAAATGGGAACAAAACAGAAAAGTAGAAATCTAGTAACTGTTTCAATTAGCCTAGAAAAAACACTGAACTTGTGTTGACACAATGTTATAAATTGTTTTCCTAAAAAAAAAAAAAAAACTTGGAAAAATTGGGGAAAGGTTTAGCGTCTAATGAAACACGTGGCCTAGGCAGAGCAACATATTTTGGCATTCTGTGACCTCAAGAAGTTGCTGCAAGGCTGAGCTGGTTTCTTCAAATGAAAACATCACATGTCTCTCAGTGTCATACTGAATTAAGTAGGGTATGAGACCAGAGAAACCTGTGAAGGCAGTCTACAATAACATACTACCCTATTATTCCTTTGATTTGGGAATAAGGGGAAGAAAGAAGATCMTATATAAGTGGAAGAAATATCTTTCCAAGTGCTAAAGGAAGGACTTCTAAAGGTAAAGAGAAAGACTTAGGCAATGAATGTCAGCACTTAATATAAAACAAACCAATGAACACAAAAAAAAAGGAAGGGAACCACAAAATACCATTACTGGTACTTTTTAGTGAAAAATCAGTAGAAAGTTTTATTAGTAAGATGGGGTGCCTAAAAGTGGAAAAAGTTCACTAASAAAACTGCAATCAAGTTTTTCTAGAAGCAGGCACAGAAACCCAACTGAACCAGTAAGACAGGGTTATATGGTATTTGAAAGGGTCAGAGATTGAAACAACAATGAAATTAGAGTAACAACTGAATTTCAAGTGCCTCTACCTGTTTCAAATTTAGCTTTTTTTTTAACAGTTGACTGAACCAACCTAAAGGAAATGGCTTACATCTGATCCTGCACCATTCCTCCAACCTTCTTCAGTAAAAATCCTCCAATTCCAGCAACAGAAATTGTATGCAGTTGTATTACAATTTGCATGTAATAAAATMATACAAAAGATAAAAAATATTCCTAAGAATATTCAGTTCAGTGGACATAATGTTATTATGCACATTACTAATATTTGCCAAGCATGTTAACAGTTTGGTTTTTGTTGGCAGCATTAACAATGTGGGAAGAAATATTAAGACTGGAAAATGACACTAGTATGGAAAAGCTTGAAAAATAATACTGAATTATTATTTAATGTGTATAAGTTGTGTACCTGTCCTCATAAATAAAACAAAATYCTGTAGCTTTGCTATCACAGATGTTCATGACAATGTGTAAGGAAGTTACTAAGATACACAACTATCTACTTAGCCCAGAGCTCAAAAGCTAAACAYAGGAATCAAAACATATATCACAGACATAAAGGATCATCTTGTACATCCCAATTGTCCTAAGTCTCCATGGTACATAAAAAAATTTAAATAAATGTTGTAAATAGCAACAAACTTTAGACTCTTTCTTAAATGATTTTTAATAGGATGGCTAAAACAAAGACCTAAATTAAATATTTTTCTTAATTTCTGCTGAAGTCATAGGAGCCTCCAATAATATATCATCAAAATTTGATACATCATTTACTATAGCAAGAGCCCAAAAGAAATTATCTTCTCTCAATTAAAATATTTCAGAGATATTTTTATTTAAACTCTTTCATTATTAACTTAGCAAGAACAAAGCAAAATAATAAAAGCTAACTTGATTTACAAATTTAGAGAATGGATAAAGCGATAGCTTCTGGATTACTGTCATTACCATTACAGAGRCTACATCAGAAGAAAATCAGTATTACCCATCATTTCAATGGCCACGTCTAGGTGTTAATAGTTCTGTAAAAATACTAAAAGCACAACAAACAATTATAAAGTTAGGACTTCATCCAGTTTTGAGCACAAAAAAATCAGTTCTCAGGCATTTGGCTAAAATCAAGCGAGGTGCAGCACAGATTCAATGTCCAAAAGTTACATGRCACTAAAGTTAGGACTATAGCAAAAATAATAGAGAGGAGAAACAGTCAGAAAAAGCTTCTTTTCAAATATCCCAGGTGTTTCATTTTTATTATGATAAGTTATAAAATGACTCATTATCAAAATCTACTAAAGTTTGGAGCACTCTGTGAAAGTGTAGGA